AGCAGAGGGCTCCCCACCCCGCACCACCTCACTCCCTTGCAGTTTCTTCTCCACTGGCGCTCCCCTCTCTTCGTACGTGCCCACCTCCCTGTCCCCTCTGTGCAAGGGCGTGGAGCCAGGGAGAGGAGCTACTGAGTTGGATGGTGCAGGGTGGGGGTCCCTCTGGCCCGCTTGAGGGGGATTGAAGCGGGACTCACAGCGCTAGGTACCGGGAGCCAAACACTCCCATTTAGGTTAAAAAAAAAGAAAGAAAGAAAAGAAAACTACCCAGGGCTCCAAAAGCTAGAAGGTGTGTCCCCTTTCTCTCCCCTGCACCCCAGCCCCCAACGCCCCTAGCAGCCCACTGTCCCTCCTCTTTTCCTGCTCCCAGGCCCCACGGTGACCACTTTGGGCTCCTATGAGGTGTCGGAGGGTTGTGAGAGGAAGAAAGGCCAGCGATGGGGGCCTCTGGAACGGCGAGGAATGCAAGCTATGGAGGGTGAGTCTTTAAAAGCTTTCTCTCCTTCTCTCCCTCTCCCACTTTCCTTCCTCCCTTTAACCCCAGAACTCAGAGTCAGGACACAGAGCCCTTCCCCCAGTTCACCTCCACCCTTTCCACCCTTGGGATGGAGCTCCATTCTCCTCTGGGCTCAGGCTTTGGGGGAAGTTCAGAGCACCCCCCTCTGGGGCCCTAGCCACCAGATAACCAGGCTGTGTGTCCTGGGGGAGCTGCCAGACAAAGGCCTGTTGGACAGAGCTTTGAAGCAGCCTTGCAGCAGGGGTTTGCTCTCATTGCCTCCCGACCCAGATCCCAAGCTGCCTCTTCATTTGAAAAGCAGGGAAGGGAACATGTGGATTGTCATTCTCCTGCCACCACCACTAACTTCGGATGGAAGCCTGGTGGCTTTGGTTCTCTAGGCTAGCTTCCTGCCTGAGAGAGGGAGCTGGGGAGGGGGAGGTGAGCCCAGCCTCCAGACACACGTGTCCCCACCACGCCCATGTGACGTGGCACATGGAAGGCCCCTGGAAGGATGCTGGTCTGTTTTCCAGGACTTCCTGTGAAGTGTCTGCAGGCCCCTATGCACACTCAGTGCAGGCAGTTCTGCGCCCCCAAGGGGGACAGATGCTGTAAGGGGTCCCAGTTGCCCATAAGACTGCTGCTGTTCTTCTGTTCTTACAGAAAGGCAGATCAGAGTCAGAATGTTAAACCAAAGCAAACAGTCACCATCCAGGCAAGAGTTTGCTATTAGAGGAACTGCATTGCAGCAAAGGAGGGGGTGCTTGCCAACCAGAGGCTGGGGGCCAGCACACCCCAGTTTCTTAATGAGCTAAAACGGCAGGTTTTCTTTTACTCACAAGTGCAACTTTAGACTTCCCACAGCAAGAAAGGAGAGGAGGCCTCCTGACTGTCAGCAGCGGAAAAGGAGATACCTTATAGAAAATGTCATGGTGGGATTGGGGGGTGTATAGCTCAGAGGGAGAACATTTGACTGCAGCACATTTCAAAGAGGCCACCTGATAGAATAAATCTGAAAGGGCCCGTGTTTGCTCAGTAAGGCATTTAGAATCATTTCATTCAGATGTTTTCTTTCTCTACCTACGGACAGGCTTTGCTTTCTTATTATGGAAAAGCTAATTTCTCACTAGCCATATGGATAATTTAACTTTTCACAAACCTCGAAAAGAGTAACTCTTACCCCACCTAGCCTGATGACACGCCCGGTGTCTGAATTCTTTCTTGGCTACTTGTCCCACTGCCTGCGAGGGGGACAGCGAGAGGTAGGTGTTCTCTGCAAGCCCCCAGGCTGTGCCAGCAACTGGAGCTCGGTTTGCTTAAAGGCATTCATAAGAGGCCATGAGAAATAATGACCCAGAAAGGACTAGAAGGCTGCTGGGCTAGCTCCAGATTTTACCCTCACACGTTAAGGCTCATCAGGTCCTGCCACACGCTCCCTGGGGGAGCCCAGGCGACACCAGGTGGCACTGTTAGACCATCTCTGCCCCGGGACAGTGCGCCTGGAGGGCCTGGAAGGCCTGACCTGCTGGCGGGTGCGTGTCTCTCCTAGGAGAAGTGTTACTCCCAGCTCTCTATGAGGAGGAGGAGGAGGAGGAGGACGAAGAGGAGGAAGAGGAAGATCAAGTGCAGAAAGGCGGCAGTCTGGGCTCCCTGTCTGCGGGCAAGCACCGGGGCCTGAGCCTCACCGAGACGGAGCTGGAAGAGCTGAGGGCGCAGGTGCTACAGCTGGTGGCGGAGCTGGAGGAGACCCGGGAGCTGGCGGGGCAGCATGAGGATGACTCCCTGGAGCTGCAGGGTGAGTGCCGCCACGGAGCCAGAGGGCCTGGGCCCAGAGGCTCTGTGCGCCCTGGATCTGAGGCCTGAAGCCTGCTCCCCTCTCACTGCAGGGCTCCTGGAGGACGAGCGGCTGGCCAGTGCCCAGCAGGCAGAGGTGTTCACCAAGCAGATCCAGCAGCTCCAAGGTGATTCACTGCACTTGGACTGGCGGGGAGGTGGCCAGACTTTTGTCCCGAGGGTTTGGCTGAAGCACAGCAGACAGAAATAACCCCATTCAGTGCTTTCTCCTCATCACCCCCAACTAGTCTCACCGTTTTCTCCTTGACTCTCAGGTCTCCTCTTTATCTAATTTCCTCTCTTTCTTGCATCTCCACCTGGCTCTTCCGTCCTCCCCCTGCCCTTTCTGGCCCTCTTACTTCTCTCCTCCTCCCTCCGCTTAACTCCTTTTTCCACCCCTTCAGCCTCCTCCTTACACATCTACACCCCTCTCCCTCTTTCTTTTTTGTCCTGGCCAGTGCCCTGAGCAGATAGCAGGGTTGGATTCCAAACCCAACTGCCTTTCTCCTGTCCCTCCAAGGGCACCATGGGAAGGAGCAGTGAGCCAATGAGAAGTGACTGCAAGAACTCTGTGTCTTTTGAGAGAAGCAGATGAGAATGCTTCTTTTTCTCCCCAGGATAGAGCTTTTGACCCCGGATCCCTTTCCTCTAATGCCTGTGTCCCTTTGTCTCTGGGAAGCGGCAAGGCAAGCATCCACATAGCACGGCACAGCCAAATAAAAAGGCAGCCTTTGTTACTTCTGTGGGCTTCCGGAAGGTTTAGGGGAGCTGCCCTAGAAAACAGTAGGGATTCTCCAGAGAGAACAGAGATCAAGCCAGAAGCAAAGTAAAAATGGAGAAAAAAGGAAGCAGGCCTGGAGAGGAGCAAGCAAAGGTGGAAGAGGGGAAAGGACAGACAAGGGGACAGAAGATAGAAGCCAAGGAAGCTGCAGGGAAGTGTACAGTGAAGAGGGGGTAGGGCATAGGTGAGAAATGGCAGGGCAGGTGTCACACCGGGAAAGTGTGGGCGTTGGTCTCAGACCCCCTAGGTTCTTCAGCCCCGCTCGTCCACTTAACAAGCTTGTGAGCGTTAGCAAGACTCTTTTATTTTTTTGAGACTCATGTTTGTATCTGTAAAATAGGGCTCATTCGTTATCAGCCACTTATTGAGTGTCTGTGTATTTGAAGAGCCAGCTATGAACAAGACAGACCAGACCCCTGCCCTAATGAAGAGTACATTCTAATAGGGAGAAGCAGAAAAGCAAATTTAGGTGACAATAATTGCTATGAAGACAATATAGCAATTATTTAGAGAGGATGAGATAGGAATTTAGTTAGAAAAGGCCTCTGAAGAGAGTGACATTTGAGCTAAAACCTGAATAGTAGGAAAGATTTAGTAATTCAGAGATGTGAGGGACAAGCACACTGAGCAGAAGGAACAGCATCTGCAAAGGCTCAGAGGAAAAAATGAGCCTCAAGAGTTTGAAGGACAGAAAAAAATCCAATGTCATGAAGCAAAGTGCATATGGAGAGCCCTGGTAAAAGAGGTCTGAGAAGCCAGCAAAACTTACAGATCAGCTGAGCTGTCTGGCTTTTAGTCTTGGTGGGAAGATATGAAAAGATCTTAGATGAGGAGGGTTATATGATCTGCTTTATGTTTTTAGAAAAGCACTTTGGCTCCTGTATGAAGATTGGTTGGAGGGAAAGGAGTCAACACAGTAAGACTGTTTAGTAGGTTAGTCTAGAGACATGGTTGCTTGGATTAGGGCAGCAGATATGGAGAAGATTCCGAATAAATTTGAAGTGCCAGAGAGGGGGTGAGTGGGTGAGAAAGCATGAAAACGACGTTGCCTTGAGAAAGTGGAGGAGTGATGGTGTCATTTATTGGGATGGGGAAGACTTGGTAAGGAACAAATTTGTGGAGCAGGGTAGCCATTTAAGACGTGTTTTTGACATGTTGAGTTTGAAGTGGCTATTGACACCTAAATAAATATATTAAGGAGAGAATTGTAGAGATGAATCTAGAACTCAGAGAGAAATCAGGGCCAGAGATAAAGCCTGGAAGTCACTAGCATTTAGTGAGAGTTTTTGAATCCATGTGCGATTTTGAAATCCCATGGGGAGATATAGGAGGAGTCCAGTCCCAAGAAAACTCAAGTATTTAAAAGCCGACTATAGGAGAAATGAGCCAAAGAGGCTGAGGTAGGGGCTATTACTGAAGCATTTCATGTTCTGCAAACCATGAGCACAGTGCTTCATGGAGCTAATCCTCTTGTCAAAAGTTGCTAAGTCAAGTAAGATGGCCATTGGGTTGGCAAGATGGAAGGCTTTGAGGTATGTCAGTGACGACAGACACCTGGTTGACTTAGGTTGAAGAAAAAAGAGGGGAAACCAAAGTGAGTACACATATTTTAGTAATCATGATTTGAAGAGTAGAGCACTAAGGGAAAGGGAACTGAAGCTAAGAGAGTTTTTTTTTTTTGAGAGATAGGACACACTATATCATATTGGTATAACGAAGAAAACGATCCAGTAAGTGGGTGTTGTGGGGGGGGTAGACCTTTTCTTGGAGAAGGGAGTTTTTCTTTTAAACAGGAAGGAAGTCTGAAATAAGTACAGCTGCAGGTAGGTAAGTGCCTGGGAAAATACAATTTTAGAACAACTCCCTCCTCTTTAAGGTTGTTTCCAGATTAAATTTAGTGGGGGTGGGGGTGGGTGAGGAAGATGTCTGTTGGCTTGGGAAAGACCCCAAGCCCCACCCCGCTGGAGGAAGTAACCCCGTTCTTTCGCGCGTGCGTTGCCCGTTTCCGCCAAGAGGGGGCGCGCGCGGCCACAGTGGTAGCTGGTGTTGAGGAGGCCGTTCCGGCCGCCACAGCCCCGCGGGGGCGGGGAGCGGCCGGTGGCTGGAGCCCCCCCAGGGAGACCGCTTGCGGGGGGGCCGAAGAGATGGAGGCTATAACCAGTGAGTGAGAACCGACCTCTCTGCCCCACAGCCTGACTCCCGGGTTCCCTGCCTCACCCCGACCGCCCCAACCCCGCTGTCAACCGGCGCCAGTTCCTCAGAATCTGAGCCCAACCAACTCCCAGCCCAGTCCAAGGACAAGCTCCTCCCCTAGGACACCAAGCACCGCCCCTCCCTGCAGTCTGGCAGACCCCTTTTCCTAATTAAGAGCTTTCTTAGGCTGCTGGGGGTCCCTCCTCCACTCCCCAGTGGAGCAGAGAAAGCCGTTTTTTAAAGGGCCTGGCCCCAAAGGACATCTAGACCCAACCATCACGGGCAGTAGGAAAGTGGAGGTTGGTCAGCCTCTCTGCCCAAGCCCAGCCAAGCAATAGGGCCTTATCCTAAGGTTCAGTTGATTTGTGGGTATACCCCACTAGATTGTAAGCTCAGAGAGGCGAACCACCTCTGTGCTGTTCAGTAATGCTTAGTGATGGGGATACAAGAACTTTGTTTCAAGGAGGTAAGAGAATCTAAGTGGAGATGCTTGTGCTTGGCTCTGAGTTGAGGATCCACCCATTCTGTGGAACAGACCTCAAGGAGAGGAGGAAAGATAGGAGAAAGGGGCCCAGAAGTTGCACTTGTGAGCGTGGGAGAGCAGAACCTTGTCCACTCAGCATTTCCGTGCAATGTTTACAAATTTTTCTTTTCAAACATCTGTGCTCCATTCTTACTTAAAAACAAAACAAAAACAAAACAAACAAACCAACATGTAGTTCTGGGGGTGCAGATAATTAGTGAAAGTATCTTAAATAGATGCTTCCCGCCCCTGGATGGGTGCAGCAGATATTTATGCCTATTTATGTACAGCTGAATTATGCTGTACATAAGGTTCACAGTTCATGGTGGGCCAAACAATTCCCTCCCTTCCCTTCATGAAGCTGGAACCTGAGTAAGGGGAGACCACCTGTTTTACACACACACACACACACACGGAAAAGTACAAGGTACTACGAGAACATTGAATAGCGGGCATTGTTTGGTTTTTTGAGGAGATAGGGAAAGTTGAAATCTGAGTGGTGAGTAGAATCAGCAGGAGTTGGGGTTAAAGGAGGAGAATAGATAATGTACCTTGGAAAGAGTTTGTGGGGAGATCCTGACCTTCCCAATGTAATCCTCATCGCCATTGATCCGGGATTAATCCCCTAATCCTGGCTCCCACATCGTGAATTCTTTATTGGTGTCATAACCTTTACTTTGTATGTGTAGATTCTCTTGGTCCCAGATGGGTGACTGTGTCCAGAAGCCCTGAGATGCCCCTCAGATACTGAGAGCTCTGGCATGCTTGTTTTATAAACACTATAAAATATGGGCTTGTAAAAATTCAAATAGCACAGATGTATGTGATGTGGAATGTAAAATCTCCACTGCATGCCGTCTCACTCCTGAGAAATAGCTCATCATGATTTGGGACTGAGATCTCTCCAGAACCTCTTCCTTGTTTTTGCATAATGGTAGATTATACAATGTACATATAAATACTTTTTGCAAAAAACAGTCTCATTTTTCTTATATATTATAGGAAAATTTTCACATCTCAGTAGATCCTGCCACTTTTTTTTTTTAAGATTTATTTACTTATGCATACAGAACTGGGGTACAGACCAGAGGTATGGTGAGAGGATTTACCAGAGACAGAATTGTGAGCAGAACATGCAGATTTACTGAAATACACTGCTGAGGGGTGCAGCGGACGGGTCAGGAGAGGTCTGCCACACCATATGATCACCCTGGCCGGGGATCAAACCTGTGCTGCAGTGGCGGTGATAGTTTCATTGATAGCTTCATAGTGCTGTGCTTTAACCCCTTGAGCCACCAGGGAGGGCCAGATCTGCCCCTTTCTTTGATATTCTATTTAATCATTACCAATTTAGACACTACCTTAATGACAGGCCTTTCGGGCAGTCACCAGCATCTTAGGTACTCCCCTTATTCTGTAACAGATGGAGGTATACTTCTCTGACTAGGTGGAGAAGACTTTGTCGGAATTTCCAGATAAAAAGTATAAGTCTCCCTTTAGCTTAGTGACCTCTAAAACATGGCAAATTTGTTCACTTATGCTCCTGCTCATCCCAAACTTTGGGCTTTGCAGGTGAACTGAGGTCCCTGCGGGAAGAAATTTCCCTGTTGGAGCGTGAAAAAGAAAGTGAACTTAAGGAAATAGAACAGGAGTTGCATTTGGCCCATACTGAAATCCGGAACCTGCGGCAGGCAGCAGAGGACTCAGCGACGGAGCATGAGAGTGACATAGCATCGCTGCAGGAGGACCTCTGTCGGATGCAGAATGAACTCTATGACATGGAGCGCATTCGGGGGGAGTACGAGATGGAGATCACCTCCCTGCGGGCGGAAATGGAAATGAAGAACTCTGACCCGTCCAGTAGCTTAAGTGCCTCAGATTTCTCTGAGATGCAAGGTAGGAGAGACAACACCCTCCTCCTGGCCAGTCTAGCCAAGCAGAGTGAGGTAGTGATGTAAGGTGGAGGGGTGGGGGGTGTCGTAGATCAGCAATTGGGAGCTGCTAGAAAAAAAATCTCCAGGTCGAATTCAAGACTGTAAAGGAGAAGAACTTACCCTGAGAGGACACACCACTCAACAGAGGTGTAAGAAATCAGCACCCTGGAGATGTACCCCAGTATTCTTTCTTGGAGAGCCTGAGGCATTTTTGATTTGACTGTGAGAAAGCCCTGCTCAGATGTTTAAGGTTCTGGAATGGGAGTCAGGGTGTCTTGTCACCTTGGGGAACCTTTCCTGCTGCTCTGGCATCATGGTTCTTTGCCTGGACCACTCTGTGGGTGGGGAGGCATGCAGTAAGGCTGCAGGATGCCAGCCTTAAGCTTCGTTAGCCCTCCCCACAGTAGAAATCAGGGAGCAACAAATCAGAGCACAAGACAGCTGGAGAGAAAGGTTAGTTTGAGTCATGCATGAGGGACTCAGAGAGCTCTGTTTCCAGACAGTGAGTCGCCCCGCTGGTTGCTAGGATTCGTGACATCAGAGTTTGCCTTTCTTCCGAGGCTAGATTTATGATCCCAGTATAATGGGAGGCCCTGTGTTAGGTGAGGTCAAGCAGAGGCGGTCCACAGGAATCAAAGAACGGCAAGTCTCCCCAACGGGAAACTGTAACCCGCCTCCGGAACAGCCTTTGGGCCAGGGTGTCTGGAGTGGGAGCTGGCACCCACTGTGGGTAGCCTTGGTCAGGTCAAGCAGACCTGGGTATCTCAGCCCTGCTAACTAGCGGGATGAACTAAGTCAAGCTATCATCTCTCCAAACCTCACAGTTTCCGTACCTAGAGATAAACTGGTTCATAAAACTTTACAGCGAGATGGGATTCTGGGACAGGAAAGGACCTTAGGGGATATGTAGAGAACTCTGAATAAAGTGTAGAATTTAGTTAATGATGTACCAACAGTGTCTATTCAGTCTGACTGACATACCTATGAGTTAACAGTGGGACAAGGATCCTAGGTGATCCAAGGAATTGTGTATAATCTTAGCAACTTCTCTGGAAACCTTTAAAGGTTTAGTGATTTTAAGAGGGAAGGAAAAAAGACCGTACGGTGCTAAGTAAGTGGAATGCCCTGCGTGCCAAAAGCACTCACACAAGAACTGAATCCCAGGCTGATACCTTCAAACCTAATGGTTTTCTTTTTTTCCCTAATGGTTTTCATTAAAGATAGGTTTCCTTCCTTCCTTCTCTGGTAATCTCCAGTATTCAAGGGACTTCGGATTGGAATAGAGGGGGCATTAGGAGTTCTTTCTGTCCTTTTGTGTCTGTACAAAGTCCTTCCCCTTTTTATATAACAAACCTGCCCTGATATATAAAGAGAGAGAGAGAACATTAAAAGTAACTTGCAGGGTGTTACTCTCGTGCGGGTAAGATAGGCTTTGTGTTCTACCTAGAACAAGTTAGTGTTCCATGTTACTAGTAGAATTAGTGTTCTGAGAGAAATAAGTCTTAGCAGTGAAGAAACAAAACGCATCAGGGGCTTGTATTGAGGCAACATTCAAGGTTATCGGGATTGGTGGTTAGGGACACGTGCTAGGATGTTCCAGGTCCCTGAATGCTTGAGGATAAACGTGTGGGTCTGCTGCGATGGACTTTTCTGTCCACAGGTCACAGAGCATTGCAAAGAATTATTGGCCACACCCAGGCCAGTGTACTCAGTGCGGTGAGAAAGTACAGGCAAATTCAGAACGCCTGGGCTCCCCCTGAGCCCTGCATACTAAAGGTGTAGTAGGAAGCTAACAGTTTGGGGAAGCTGTCATTACTCCCAACCCAAACCTTACATTCATTTACAAGCTCCTCAAATTGCTCGACTCTCAAGTGGGTGGGGGTTTTGAAGATGCGTACACGGGGCAGGTCTTCTGGAAAGATGACAAGGAGGCAGCTGCCTGAAAGAGGTGAAGACCCATTGCAGCGTGGAACTTTCTGGGCCCTGTGCTCTAGGCCTCTGCATGTGGTATCTCTTCGGTCCTTAGAAAAAGAAAAGCTATGCAGCCTTCTGCTGTCAAGGGTCCCAGGCAGGAGAACTGGGGACTGGTCTCCAGTGCCCTCGTCAGTGAGATCCCGGGGCTCTCACCCCTCTTGCTTTGTCCCCCTGCAGAAGAACTGCAGCAACTGCGGGAGCGGTACCGCTTCCTGAACGAGGAGTACCGGGCCCTGCAGGAGAGCAACAGCAGCCTCACGGGGCAGCTTGCAGATCTGGAGAGTGAGAGGTACGACCCGACCCGCAGGCAGCGGGACTCTGCAGGACGCTCCCCTGAGTGCAGGAAAAGGCAGTGGCAGGCTCACGGCGCCCCGCTCCACTCCCGGGGCGCGCTCATCCTTTGTGACATCCGCAGGTTATGGAGAGCTCCTAGCAGCATGGAGCTCCAACCCCGGTGTCTCGGGACTAGAGTTAAGTGAGCTCCAGAATGGAGCCCCCCTCCATTCTGGACTTCATGGATGTCTGATTTGCCCTGCCCTTGAGTAGATCAGGAGCGAGTAGATCTGAGCCCCCAGAGTCAGTCTGAGGCAGAATGCCTCTGGACTGGAGCTGGCCTGATGATGACCCAGCCTTGGCCGCAGTCAGACAAGCACTCTTGGGGCTGCCCAGGGCCAAGCGTGCCAGACTGCGGTCGGAGGCCTGTCCTGTAATCTCCAGCGTGTGTTTACTTGAGCAGTTAATCACAGCAGGAAGCTCCTTTACCACCCATGCCTAAGAGGAAGGCCTAGGCCCAACCACCTTGGCGGGCGAGGCGAGGCAGAGCTCTCTCCCAGACATGGCTTTGGGGTTCTGGGTTACAGGACACGAAGAGCAACAGAGAGGTGGCTGGAGTCCCAAACACTACGGCGTATGATATCAGCAGAGTCTCAGACGTCAGAAATGGACTTCCTGGAGCCTGATCCTGAAACCCTTTTGTTGCGACAGCAGCTGCTGGGAGCGGAGGAACAGATGCAGGACATGCAGAACAAGGTAGGGGAGGGGCCTTCCCGTCTCTGTCCCACCTTCTCTGGCCGGGGCAGAAGCCTCTTCAGGACTGGGCTGGCACAGGAGGCAGCCTCAGGGCAGGACACAGCGCTTGGCCTTGCGGCTTGCCCGATGTACCTAGCCCAGCAGAAGCACTGCTGTGCTCTGCCAGCCTGTCTGCACACAGCCCCTGTAGTAAGTCCGCTCTCCTCTTCCATCTCCCGCACAGTGTAAGGAATTGTGTTGTGAGTTGCAAGAGCTGCAGCATCACCGCCAGACCAGCGAGGAGGAGCAGAGGAGGCTGCAGCGAGAGCTCAAGTGCGCACAGAATGAGGTGCTTCGCTTCCAGACCTCCCACAGTGCCGCGCAGGTAAACACCCGCAGGGGGAGGGCACAGGGCCTGCTCGGAGTGGAGCAGAGAGGCTAGGAGGACGCCGAGCGAGCGAGGCCAGCTTGGGACTCGGCCCGCCACAGGGCGTAGACAGAGCAGAGCAGTGGGAGACGCCCCGTAGCGCCGCTTTCTAGAAATGGTAAGTCGTCCTGGAGCACCCACCTCGGAGGAGAAACCAAACCACATCCCCGCTGAGGACCTCAAGACACTGCGTCCGGGACTTGCACTCATCCGCAGACGGGCCTGCCGTTTCTGGAGAGTAACTGTCCTGTCACATCCTCCCACCGCAGAATGAGGAGCTCAAGACCAGACTGTGCGCCCTGCAGCAGAAGTATGACGCTAGCCAGGATGAGCAGAACGAGCTGTTGAAGGCACAGCTCCAGCTCCAGGCTGAGCTTCGGCAGCTCCGAGTCACGAGGTGCTCGGTGGTAGAAAGCCCCAGCGAGAAGGTAACAGTGTCCAGAGGCGAGGGGGCAGCTCAGACTCCAAGAGGTCCCGGGCAGGCGGGTGGAGCGTTGCAAGGCCCCGGCACGCTGCAGCCCAGCGTAGGCCAGAGGCCAGGCGGAGCGGAGGGCAGGCGGGGCTCGGCGCCGAGGCCCCGTGGGCCCGAGAGTGAGTCCAGCGGAGGAGCGAGGGGGTCAGGGTGGCACAGGTCCTGCCCGGTGCCCCTCCCTGTAGGAGTTACAGTGCCAGCTGCAAAAGCTGCAGCTCGAGTTCCACAACGTCACGTGCGAGAAGGACCAGCTGCTAGAAGTGCACCAGCAGCTACGCAGCGACCTGCGGAGCCATGAGGCAGAGGTGCAGCGCCTCAGGACCATGGTGGCCTGCTACCAAGAGAAAAGCGATAAGGTAACCGGCCAGGCAGTGTGGCCGGGCAGGGGTGTCGCCACTGGCGAGGCCCCACACAGCGGTGCTACCTAGAAGGTGACCTCTGAGAGTCGCCTGCTCCCGCTCGCTTTGACTTTACATCCGACAAGCAGCCAGTAAAGAAGAAGCTGTCTCGCTTCCGCACCTTCCCCCAAAGGAAACCCCAGAAGCTCTGTGCGCGGAGCCTGTTAGGGACTGGCCCGTCCCGGGTACCCTTTCCCTGGATCGGCTCGGGACCAGGGAGGACCGGGAGGACCCCGCGGCGCGGACGGCCCTGGGTGACGCGGGCCCGCCTCCCGCCCCAGAGCACAGAGATGCACGCCCAGCTGCAGGAGATGAGGCAGCTGTACCAGTGCAGCCAGGAGCAGCTGGAGCTGCAGAAACACATGTACGATCAGCTTGAGCAGGATTACCTGCTCTGCCAGCACGAGCTGACCGAGCTCAGGAGCAGCCAGTCCATCCCGGAGGACAAGGAGAAGTGTGTTCATCAGGTAATCACGAGCAAGAGCCATGAGCGGCCCTGGGCACGCTCTCTGGAGACAGGTGGTAGGGGCCTGATGGGCTTCCTGCTCCAATACAACTGCGTGCGGCGAGGCAGGAAACAGAGGCGGGAGCCCCCCAAGTAGTGGCTTGCCTTGACCTTGGCGTGGAGCCCCACCCACAGCTTTGTAGGGTCAGTACCTCCAGATCCAGCCTGAAGCCCTGAAGGTTTTGCACGCACACGCGTGCCTGTGTACAGACACTCAGGCCTGGCTGCTGCAACTGTAGAGCTATCTCTCAGGGGGAAGGAGAGGCACGTGGGCCCACGTTTGCTGCATTCCCCGTTAGCAGGTCTAGCTGGGTGAGGCGGGTTGCAGAGTCTCTTGTCGGAAGCGCGACCTGTGCCCGGAGTGCTGACGGGTGTCAGAGGGACCTGGCTCCTGGCTCCTCCAGGAACAGTCACTCCGTGACTTCAGAGAGGCCAAGTCCTCGAAGCCTGAATTTCACCCTCTTTAAAATGAACACAGGATAGCACTGTCATCTCACTTCCCGTTAGTAATAGACCCCAGTGGTCAAGTGAAGCCCTGGTCCATTGTGATTGAGAGACAGCTCATTATCGGGGAGCTTGTGTTGAGCAGCGTGTTGAGCGGTCACCAGAGAGGGAATGGAAAAGGTGCTGAAGCAAGAAGGAGGGTGCACGGGCCTCTGGAAACACCGGGGAGATGGAGGTGCCCCCCAGCAAATTGGCAGTGGCCCCTGCTGGGGCTACCAGCAGCCTGAGTCTTCAGGGAAAGGCCTCCCCCTGACAGAATTGGGGGGCTATTTGGGCCACCCTGGCGGTCCATCTGCTTTCCTACACCAAGGCCCATGTTTCTTCTTCCCCAACTTCCACACAGTGTAGGGGTCCAGGAGGCTCATGACTTGCCCAGCACCCCCACTCCTCGTGAAGGGGGAGGGAGAAGCCTGCTGGTGTACAGAGCCAACTTTCTCTCTGGTCATCCAACAGGACTGAGGTTAGGTTGCTATTAGAAAATAGGGTGTTGGGAATCATGGGGGACTCAGTCTTCTCAACCCCAATTCATCTAGAGGTCATATTTTTCTAAAGGTTTTATGTGTTGTTTTTTTTTTAAGATTTTTTTTTATGCATACAGAACTGGGGTATAGGCCAGAGGTGAGTGGGGTGAGAGGACCCACGAGAGACAGAGTGGGGAGCAGAACAGGCAGAGCTACGAAGTACACTGCTGAGGGGAGCAGCGGGCGGGTCAGGAGAGGTCTGCCGTGTCACGTGGGTCAGCCCCCTGGCTGGGGATCGAAGTTGTGCTGCAGTGGCTGCAATAGCTTCATAGTGCTGCGCTTTAACCCGTTGCGTTTAGAGCGAGGACCCTCTAAAGATTTTAAAAGATAATTATAAAAAGAAAAATGGCGGCAGGAGAACCAGCTTGAAATTAAGTCCTGCTGGTAAGGGACTTAATAAGATATAAAACCCCTGGAGATGAGTGAGAGTAACAGGAACCGGAATGGCCAGCTCCCTGGGAAGTGCTGGCCAGGGAAGGTGGAAAAGTGAGGTAACCATCCTCAGGCTTCCTTCGGAAGGACCAGCAGGAGGAATTGAGAGCGCCAGCTGTGGTCCCAAGCGGCCAGTTGCCCCCCTCAGGGCCAGTCCTGTGGGGGGGGGCTCAGTGAGAGCCCCTGGAGACAGTCAAGGGGACGCTACAGGGCGGGAGCCCCAGCTGAGTGGCATGAGCCCCAGAGCACAGTGCAGGACGTCAGGGAGCTGAGCCGGCAGAGGTAACTGCCCCACGCCCGCTGCCCACAGTGTGACACCCTGCTGGCCAGGCTGACGGAGCTGCAGGACAGGTACAAAGCCAGCCAGAAGGAGATGGGGCAATTGCAGATGGAGCAGTGCCAGCTCCTGGAAGACCAGCGGAGGATGCAGGAGGAGCAGGGCCAGCTGCAGGAGGAGCTGCACATGCTCACATTCCCCGTGCCCAAATCTGGGCTCAGCCTGAAGGTAACCGGCGGCCGGCGCTGCAGAAGCTGCTTCCCAGGGCCGACGGCGCCTGCGAAGAGCAGGCTCTGTTCTTAACCAACCACCTCTTTCTTACTCACCGTTCTCCTCCAACCCAACAGTTCAATGTAGCTGATTAGGGTTTTCCATCTTAGAACATTATTTTGTGCTCTGAAATCTGCACAGCATTTTACTTTTAGATACTCAGTATATCTGGAGAAAATGTGCTTGAAAGCAGCTTGTAAACTATAGAATGTATCCAAGCATACACCACTGAAGTCACCCCCTGCACCCCACCTGGGCCCCAGATGGGCTGGGCAGAGCCAGCAGAGGTTCCTGAAGGGCGGGGGGATCCCAGGAGGAAGGGCAGAGGGCTTCCCAGGGAACCACCCGGCACCTGCCCCCTCAAATCCGCTCTACCTCAGAGTCAAGAGCTACTTGCCAAGTTACATGAGCTGGGTGAACTGCAGCTGCTGTACCAAGGCATGCAGGAAGAACAGAAAAAACTACTCCAGAATCAAGAGAGACTAGTACAGGAACAGTTTGCGCTGCAGGAAGAGCTGCACGTGTTCAAAGACTCTCATTTCCGGGAAGTGCTGCAAAATACCGAGGATTCTAAACAGTCCAACTCCTCAAAATGTCAAAACAAGGTAACCGAGAGGCACAGACACATTTCAGGGGACGGCAGCGGGGCAGGGGAGGGGGCCCGCGCCATCAAGTCAGGTGATCGGGCCCAAAGATGAGGCTGTCCCCCGCAGGGGCTCCTCCTGGGGACCCCGCCCAGATGTGGGCCCCAAGCCCCTGGGACAGGGGAGCCTGTAATTTGATCGTTTGGCTCCACTGCTGCCACAGCTCACTTCCCAGATGCCAAGGTTAGCCTTTGCTTGGGCTCCTCGGCGCCAGCTCTTAGGTGTGTGGTCCTTTTCGCGTGATCCCGCTGATGAATGAGAAGTAGTTTTCAGTGGTCAAAATCTACCACTTTTTGGTGCTCTCCAGGAGGCAAACCTGGGACCATTCATTTCCAAGATAAGCATTGTCAGCATGCGGGTTTTGGGGACCGACCCCACTGTCTTCGTTGGAACTTTGGTGGCAGCGACAGCCAGGTCACTGGGGTCAGGCCAGCAAGTCATTGCGTGTCCAGCCCTGGTAGTGGGTTGTGCCTCTGAGGCCCCACAGGCAGAGATTTCCATGGAAGTCAGTTGAGGGTTGCGGAATGAATTTGGTTGTTGAGGTCTCAATGTGGGCAAGGAAGAGCCAGGCGCTAATTTCCATTTAGGCTAAATATATTCACTCAGATGTTAGCCCGGACAGGAAGAACCGGGTGGCGGTAGAAGCCCAAGTGAGTTGGTCCGCGGCCAGGGACACCAGATATGTCCACTGAAAGCCAGGGTGACCCAGAGATCAGGAACCACTTCTGGGGAAGGAATGTTTTCTGTGCTCTTAGGCAAAGCTGATTTTAGGGTTAGTGGGCTTGGGGGTAGAGTGGGGAGGGGCTGACCCTAAAGATCAGAGTAAGGGGTACACCCCACGGAAGACAGGGTGGGATAGGGAGCCAGAGTTCTGGACAGCCACTCAGCAGTCCTCCGGGAGAGAGAGATGTAGCCGAGGGTGGAAGAAGCAGCTGAAATGGGAGCCCAGGAGCCACGATGTCTCCGCCCAGCCCTGGGGAGATTTTCCCCAGTGCACCGGCATCCCAGCCGGCCAGTTACCTGTAGGCTCGCTGAGGAAGGCGTGTGAGACGGGAGAGTCGGCACGCAGGTGTGCAAAGTGGCCTCAGCCCTTGGCACCAGCACAGGCGCGGCTGAAGCCTGCAGGTAACAGGAGTAACAGTGGTGTCTCCCGCCCGACCCGGCAGTCCAAGGTGATCATGGCGCAGATCCAGGCGCTGCAGGGGCTGTACGAGTCCAGCCAGAAGGAGCAAGAGCTGCTGCAGAAGGAGCAGGGGCGGCTTCTGGAGGAGCGCAAGAGGCTGCAGGCCGAACTGCAGCTCTGCCTGGAGGAAATGCAGATCCTCCAGGTCCAGTCCCCTGCTATGAAAATGAGCCTCGACTCCTACCTGAAGAGCAGCAGCGCGACCGGCAGCGGCGCCCCCATCGGGGACGGCTATCAGCGCAGTTACGAGAGCAGCGTGGACGCCAAGGAGAGCTACTTGCGGAGCTACACCAGCAGCCGGGCCAGCGACGAGAGCTTCCTCAAGAGCTATGGCAGCAGCGCCAGCGAGCCCTGCGAGAAGGTTTCCCGCGCCAGCAGCGGCAGCGGCAGCAGCAGCACCGACACCTATCACAAGAGCTACCTGAGCAGCAGCACGGAGGTGGAGCCAGCCGAGCCCAAAGACGTGGAGGTAACAGTGGCCTGGTGACCGACGGGCAGAGAAGGCGCTCCCGGGTGGAGACGGGCACAAGCGAGCGGCCAGGCCGACCGGCGGCGGGGTGGTCAGAGCTGGCAGCGCTGTGCTGCCCCGCCCCCACCCCCGCCGCCGCCGGCCCTGGCCTCCCCTCGCTGCCCACGCACGCACGGGGCTGCTCCCGCCTGGCCTGGAGGCCCGACATGCAGGACAGTTCATCCCCACGGTCACGGAGCTCTGTGTGGGCGCTCAGGACGGTGGCCACTGCTTTGTACCCAAGGGAAGGCCCAGCAAGGACTGGGGCGGAGGGCCGTCGCGCCTCGGGGTGCCGTGCTCACACTCCTGCCCTGCCCCCAGTGCTTTGAGGACACGGTGGCCAAGGTGTTGGTCAAGCTGCAGGGCGTGCAGGCCATGTACCAGCTCAGCGAGGAGGAGCACAGCCAGCTGCAGGAGCGCATGGCAAAGCTGCTGGAGCAGCAGAAGGGCCTCAAGGAGGAGCTGGATGCCTGCGAGAGGGAGCTGAGGGAGTGCATGGAGGGCCTGGAGAAGCCCGCGGCCTCCCAGAGTGACAAGAACGAGGTAACCGGCAAAGAGGGCAGCGTCCCAGCAGGCCCTGCAGGCGGAGCGGGCTGGCCCGTCCAGGGAGGCTGGGCGAGGGGGACAGGTACCAGCCAGCTGGGCGTGGTGGCCCCCTCCCGGCCAGCGGCCAGCAGCGCGGCCAGGCCAGGACCCCGGGGTCCCGGCAGGGTGCTACACCCAGGAGCCCACTGGGCTGGCCTCGGCTTCCTCGGGCCTCCCTCGCGGCCCTGGCAAGTCTGACCAAGACGCCTCTCTGAATCTTGCCACTTCTGTCTTCTCTCTTGCTGTGTGACCTGGAGCTCTGTTTCTTCCCCTGCCCAATTCCTTTAGTTACTCTGTGTTTTTGTCTGTCCACCTGACGGCAAACACCTTCAAGCCAGGGCCCCCGTGACCGCCGGTGGCTCTGCTGAGGTCAAGGCGAGGGCTTGGCACCCTCTGGCCATGGGGCAGCAGGCGTCGTCTCTAGCTGAGAGCCGTGGTCCTCAGGCCAGGGAGCCGCAGAGGTCCGCAGAGCGGGCACCTCAGTGCTGACCCCTCTCCAGGAGAGCCGGGGGCTCTGACGGAGGCAGAGTCCGAGGTCGGGGCTAGGCTGGAGCCTGTCCCTGGCTCGGGTGCGGCCCCAGCTGTGCCCCAGAGTGCCCATTAGGAAGAGCGGCAGCCGGAAGGCTGAGGTTCAGGTCCCAGGCAGGGTCTGTGTCAAAAGCAGAAGTTGAGCCAGCCCCTTTCTGATCGTCTCAGATGTAAATCATCACATCCCTCAAGTCAGGTCGAAGCGGTTTGTCAAACAGTTTCAGAGACTCGCTTTCCAGGTTCATTTTTTTTTTTCCGCCCATTGTCTATTTCTGCGGAGCTTTCGGAGGCATTTCTGAGCCCGTGACGCCCTCAAACCCCCCCCCCCCCCCCGGGCAGGGCCCAGGCTGCCTGTCCGGGTCAGGCACAGTAACTGGCCCTCCACCACCCACAGATCAAGGAGCTGCAGGCCAAGCTCCGGGAGCTGCAGCTGCAGTACCAGGCGAGCATGGACGAGCAGGGCCGGCTGCTGGCCGTGCAGGAGCAGCTGGAGGGGCAGCTGCAGTGCTGCCAGGAAGAGCTCCGTCAGCTCCGGGAGCGGAGGCTGTCATCCACCACCGGTGGGAAAAACAGCAACAGGAACAGCAACAGGAACGCCAGCGGGACCAGAGAGCCCACCGAGACCAAGACCATCCCAGAGAGTTCCGAGGTCAGCTGTGAGACCGGAAAGGTGAGTAGGAGTCTCCGCAGCCGGGTGAGCAGAGGCAGAGGCGAGCCCCGGAAGAAAAACCGCCCCGGCGCCGGTAGGCCAGGTGAAGTATTTGTAGAGACGCTTCTGGGAGCGCTAAGGTACCTGCAATAGACTGAGTCCACCTGAGTGGCGATGCGGTGCTCTCTTCTCCTGCGAAGTGGGGGACAATAGCGTACAGACCACGCCGATGAGGGGGGTCCAGCCCCAGAGCTCCATAGCCTCGAGGCTGGACGCCGTCTACAGTCAGCCCAGCCCGGTTTGGGGGAGCCCCTGTTCTTCCTGGGTCACGTGCCCAAGAGAAGGACCCGACAGATGGCGAGAGGAAGTTGCTGGGGCTGTTGTGCGCTGACCAGTGAAAGAGGATTGGGTGAGGAAGGAGCCAGCCACGGGGCTACGCCGGGTAGGAGGCGGCCGTTGAGTCTTCAACTCTGGTGGCTCTTTGAAATGGCTGATGACCACATAGGTGTCCAGTCCAGAGAGGGTGGGAGTGACCGTCCTCCACACCAGGCTCAGGCGCCCGGCCCAGGCCCGGACCCCCCCTGCCCCGGTGGGGGGGGGGGAAGTGTAGGGGTCCTCCGGACAGTGCAGCCAGGCAGGAAGGTAGGGTTCCCCGCAGGTGACAGCTTCCCCACCCCCTACCTCGCCCCGCAGAGTCTAGAGGTGGTGCTGTACTACAAAGCCCCCCAAACGGATTTAGATAGTCTGACCAAAGAGGACCAGACAGAGGACGTGGAAGAGGAGGAGGAGGAGGAGGAGGAGGAAAAGAAAGACGTTGAGGAAGCAGAGGAAACCTGGGATGAAATAGCTACGGAGACACCAGACCCTGCAAGGCTGAAGTCCACGGAAGATTGGGAGCAAGTATTTGAAAAGCCCCAGCAGTGTGAGGACGACAAGGATGAGGGTGAGGATGACAAGGATGAGGGTGACGGCGAGGGAGACAAGAATGAGGACAGCTCTTGCCCTGAAACTTCCGAGGAAAACAACGCCCTCAAGATTTCTGAGAGTAAAAAGGTAACCGCTGCTGAGGGTGGCATCGAGCGGGAAATGGGCTCTTGAGCTCTGGTGCCCCTGTGTTTGGGGTGACCAGGCCTAAGCTGGACCTCAGCAGGCGGAGAGGCCGGCGAACTCCGAGAAGCAGACGTGGCTGGTGACATGTCCTCTGCGGGAAGTGTCAGGCCCAGGGCAGTGTGCTGAGGAGCAACTGACACCACCCCAGGCCCTCTCCCGGAGGGAGCCAAGCTGAGGTCCTCAGAGCCCCTGTGGGGTTGGGCCTTGGTTGCTGCTGTGTTGCTGCGGGGTGTGGGGACATTGGTGCTGGCCACAGGGCATGAGGGTGGGGGCTGGGGACACCAGGAGAGACAGTTCCAGCTACTTCAGCCTGCTCAGTAGGGGCACTGACCAGTGGAATCACCCTTCAGTTGCTGGATCTAGAGAGGTGGGTGGAGTCCCCTGGGTGACGTGCCACTCTACAAAAGTATTCCTCTTGGTTGACACCTGCTACTGCTTGTAGGACAGTTTCTTTCTGAGCCTCTAAGCGTAAGGCATGAAAACTCGTCTCCCTTGTGGGCTGTCCCAGTCCACTGCACGGATAACTGGAATTTCCCGGCAGTGCAGTCTGCAGTGCTGGCCGAGGTCTGCTAACCCAAGGCAGGGGGGCCACTTAGGATGTGTAAAAATAGAAGCAGCTGCAGCCCCTTCCCTGGTGTTATATTTCTGTGAACTCCTCATCTTCCACTGGACACTGGTCGAGCCACAGGTTTCCTTGTCTTTGAGCGCCACGTTTCTGAACACCAGACCTGATTTTTGTATTTCAGAGTCAAGTGCCTCCTTCATGCCTATGTGCAGAGGCTTCCCTCTGCCCCCATGGGTCCTGCATTTTTTGCAGGCCGCTCTCCTGTCTTACATGTGAGCGCCTGCGAGCACACATCTCTCTCGGGAAGATTGCTGTAGTCGAAGAATCAGCCCCTCTTCATTGTTAGCTTCATTGTCAGGGCGTATTGTCTCGCCAGGAAGGCAGCAGGCTCCCAGGGAATCACAGGGCCCAGAGTCCAGCGTCCTGAGACGTGAACAGGACTGGGCCCTGCAGGAGGCGGGCTCTTCCGAGAGTGACCCAGGGCCAGGTCCCCCTCTCTCGGAGAGCCCAGCTTTCCCCTCTCAGCGGCTGCTTCCAGAGCTGCTGCCCACCAGGAAGGTCTTGGCACAGATTGCCCCGCTTCCCAAGAGATGACAGGCCAGGAGCTGGCCCCCCCCACCTGATCAGGGCCCAGCTGCTGCCTACCCCATTGAATTTTGCATGTCTGTAGGCGCCCAGCTGGCACCTGTTTGCTCTGCCTACCCGCGTGTAACCTCTTTATCTTTCTCTTTTCCCTTTGTTTTCTCATCTTCATTATATGTCGGATTCATGTGTTTATGTCTTTTCATACCACCTCACCTCCCGGTCTCTCCTCGTGCTGCTTCCTCATGGATATGTTCAGCCACCCCCTGCCTCCAACCCCCCCATCTTCTCCCTGACTCTTGTAGGCCTGGTGGTCATATCGGCTTTGCTCTGGTGCTGGTGGGCTGAGACATCGTCCTAATGCAGGTACTGAATCGCATCCTCTCCTTCTCAGGGACAGAGGGGGGTTGCAGGTGTCCTGGCCTGGCCTCTTCCCCTTTTCTCTCCGCACTGGCTTCTTGCTGTTTCGACTCCACAGCAGGTGACACTCTGGCCTGTGACATCTCCCAGCTTTGTCTTCCGAACACATAAGGAGTGGGTGTCCTTACTCTTGACCCGGTTTGCATTTCTGTCCTCTGGGAAAAATCGGGATGATCCCAGCACTTCTGCTATGTTCACAGCTGCCTGATGACTTCTACGGGCTGCTGCTTTCGGCAAGGCCAGCGGGGTCTCTCTGTTTTGTTTAACGTCAGAGCCGAGTTCTCATCACTGTTGCTTTGTGAAATAAGGAGTCACCGCCTCGCCCGCTGGGTGAGAGAGGCGGGCTGGAGAGCTTCATCTCCCAGGGTCACTTGGTGTGGGCAGCCTCACTCTGTCCTTCAGCCTGGAGGACAACGGAACTGAGACCCCCACCATGGTTTTTGTACTTTCTGTCGAAAAGTTCTCTGGCTTGGGATCCCCGGTTTCTAGATAAATCGGAACAAGAATGCCAGGGAATATTTTATAGCTCTCTGTTGCTCCCTTATGGGGGCTAGACTGCGAGTGTCTGCAGACCAGAGGTGCACGTGTTCTCGGGGAACCAAGGCTCACCTGTCGCTCTGCTCTGGGCGCCTCCTGGCTGGCCTTGGGCCACGCACTCTGCTGTCAGTAAGACACCCAATTCCAGAGGCACAATGTGGGCTCACGGTCCAGGGCACACACCTGGGATTCCACCTGCTTTCTGGAACCCTCTTGGCTTGTTTCAACCCCTTTCTTAGGCCCCCGCTCCCACCCTGGCCACTTGCCACCCCCAGGCTCGCTCACACACCCCGTGAAGGGGATGTAGTGGATGGAAGCATTCGTGGTCCCGTGGCGGCTGAGGGGTGCCTGGGGGCTGTGCTTGTCACTGTTTCCTTTGCTCTCCTTCCCTCCCCCCCTTCACTCCTCCCCTCCCTTTCAACCTTCCCCTTTGTTCTTTTAATTAGTCCAGTTATTCCCTAGGGACAGTCTGTCTCTTTAGGGACAGGGGTCTCTCTCCCTGTACTCTTCCTCCTCGTGCACGCCCAGGTGTGCAGCTTCCTGTAGGGTGACCCCCAAGCATTCAATCACAACCCTTTAAAGCCAGTCCAGACTCAGTGAGGACCCAGCAGTTAGAGCAAGACGGCCACGCCACGGTAGGGCCCCTTGGAACCTGGCCGTGCCCGTTTCTGGGCTCCCCCACCCCCTACCCCGTGTCTGGACACCCCCCCCCCACGCCTGCCCCCACTCTCCAGGGCATGGGACAGTGGGAGCTGCAGCTGGTGGCTGGGGCGTGAGCAGAGAACCCTGGTCGAGTCGCCTCTGCCTCTTACAGGCTTTGGCGCAGCAGATAAAGTGCATTATCGGACGTCTCGTTTCTTCAGTGACAAAGGGTGACGAAACCTCTTGCGTCCTCACAGGGTTTCTGTGAGAGCTGATGAGTTTGAGTGTGCGGAAACACAACCTTGGCCACCGCCACGCAGGTGACCCAGAGGGCACACACTCACACAAGCACACCGGTGCCTGGCTCCTTCCTAGCTGTCCCCCCCACTCCCTCCACCCCCACCCCGCCCCCGTTATGTTCACTCATGCAGTCCTGGCAGCATCCCCTACAGGCCAGGCACTATTATCCTTCCCTATCACTCTGTGATAAAACTGAGGCTTAGAGAGGTTATGCGACACCACCAGGAACCAGGAACCAGATTCTAAGGATTTACGATTAGCGGCAGATAAAATTCCAGTCCGCTTTCCCCTCACCAGCGCTCCTCACTTTGAAAGATCACTCTTGGTTGGTTCCAAGTAGTGAGAAAGACCCCAGGCTTCCATTTACGAGGCCTCGGATCATATGGGCTCTCTCTGTTAGCACCACAGATGTGTCTCCGGTGGGATGCCCCCGGCGCTCTGCATCTGGAGAGTGTCCGCTCCCCGTTCTCTACATGCTGTTGATTTTTAAAACTTAATCAAATTAGGTTTTTTGTTTTTTTTTCCTGTTCCCCAAGTTCTCCTGGTCTCGGTTCTTCTCGAATTAGGTTTTGTTTTTTTTTTAAAGATTTATTTATTTATTCGTACAGAACTGGGGTACAGGCCAGAGATGCAGAGGGTGAGAGGCTTCACCAGAGACAGAGTGGGGAGCAGAACAGGCAGATCGACGAAGTACACTGCTGAGGGGAGCAGCGGGCGGGTCAGGAGAGGTCTGCCGCGCCATGTGGTCACCTCAGGGGCAGGTGGGGATCGAACTCATGCGGAAGTGGCTTAAGCTTCTTAGTGCTGTGCTTTAACCCGCTGCGCCACCAGGGAGGGCCTCTCGAATTAGGTTTTTTTAATCTAAGACAGCATCTTCTCTTCAGCCCTAGTAAACGTAGTCCATTGGTGTAAACTGCAGGTTTAGTCTTCTTGGTTTTGTTTTTAAGATTCATTTTATTTATTTATGCATCCAAGAACTGGGGTACAGGCCAGAGGTGCAGGGGCGGTGAGAGGATTCCCCAGAGACAGAGTGGGGAGCAGAGCAGGCCGATTGACTGAAACACACTGCTGAGGGGCGCAGTGGGAAGACAGGAGAGGTCTGTTGCCCCATGTGGGTCACTCCCAGGCTGGGGATCACACTCTGCAGTGGCTGTGGGTAGCTCCATAGCGCTGAGACTTGACCCTCTGTGCTACCAGCAAGGCCCAAGTTTGGGGTTTTGAAAAATCCTTGACCCTGTGGTTTAAGGGTGGTTTGTGGCTCAGACATCCACTTTCCTGACAAGTGCCCCTCCCCCTCTGCGGCGGCCAGCCCGCGTGTCCATCCCCCTATGGTGAGGGCTGCGCCCCTTAGTGTCACCTCCCTAGGGGCTTTCATCGCTTCACAAGTGACCATAGACTGTTGCCATCCTGCTGCTGTCATTGCTCAGTGACCTCCAAGGATGTCACGGAACTTCTCCTCGGATACCTTGATTAAGTCTAAACACACGATTCCTCCGTCTGCCAGTCAGTCATCGAGTCCGAAAGGGAAGCCTGACACGACTGGCCCCTGGCGACACCCAGACCATCCCTGTGCTCTCCAGGCCAGCTCGCTCGCTGCCTGGGCCTGGGGTCGCTTCCTCCCCTGAGACACGCTCAGCAGCACACATCAGGATGGAAGCATCTGGGCATGCAAAATAGGTTTTCCCACTCCCCTTTCGGTATTTTCATAGATGAGAAACTCTGTATATCCATCTCTGACGTTCTTTTGCTCCCCATCACGTGTCTTCCTGCTACCTACTTCTACAGCCTTTCTCTTCCTAGTGGACTTAAAATCCTCTTTTTTTAGGTCTGAGAATGCCCATGTGTTCTCTTCTCTGTCCTCCCCTAAAACCATTCTTCTGTCACCACGACTTAAGGCGCCAACCCAACGCTGTCTTCCTAGTAGTACAGTAGTACTGTTTCTCCGAGGATGTACTTTCTTGTCCAGACTCTCCCCTCGCTCCGTGCCCTCGGGTCCTCTAGCCAGCCACACCCCCAGCGGAGGGGGTATTATTATAATGACCCTGGCTTTTGCCCCCATGGCCGTTTCAGGCTTCCTGGAATTTCCATGAACCTGCATCATTCTCCACAAAAGATCTGAGCTGCCTAAGAGCCTCACATTTGCCTGGCTCTGCAATGCCATTTCTCTCTTTCCTTTTTTAAAGATTTACTTATGTATGCACACCCAAATGGGGGACAGGCCAGAGGGGCAGGGGCAGTGAGAGGCTTCATCAGAGACAGCGTGGGGAGCAGAACAGGCAGCTGGATGAAGCACATTGCTAGGGGAGCAGCGGGTGGGACAGGAGGGGTCAGCCGCGCCATGTGGGTCCCTCCCCGGCCAGGGACTGAACTCGCGCTGAAGTGGCTGCGTCTGGCTGCGTCTAGCTCCGTAGTGCTGTGCCTCAGCCCGTTGTGCCACCAGGCAGGGCCCGCATTGCAGTTTCTCTACTGGATCCCCTTTCCCACCCTCTGGCCGCTGAGTCCGTGCTCCGTAAGCTAGTGAGGAGCCGCTGCCACCCTCAAAGGCCCAGGTTTACCCTTTTCTTCCTTGCTGCAGCATCCCATCCTCCCTCCACCAACTGGGTGCTCTTTGAAGCCTGACTCCCACGCGTGCATCTGCAGCACAGGAAGCTCATGCTTCTCCTGAGGGAGAAACTGAGGCATGAGTTCAGGCAGCCAGCCCAGGCGTGCACAGTGCCGTGCAGGGTGTCTGGGGGTGCCCGGACTGAGGCCACACTGACTCCAGTGGCTCCCGGGAGGCAAGAGGGCCTAGGCCATGGTGTTCCAGAGCTGCCTTCTCGCTGGCGCCAGTGGGCAGGGTCTGACGCGGCAGGGTTCAGAAGGCCGGGCACTCACCGCTTGTCTTTGGTCCTACAGAACATGTTTGGGATGTGGAAGCCTGTGGTGTTCTTGGCTATCGCCGCGGTGGCCCTGTATGTGTTACCCAACATGCGACCGCAGGAGACAGATTTCTGCCTCATGGAGTGATGGCAGACACCCCCCCACCGCCATGGGGGGCCACACCCCCAGCGGCCCCTCCCCTCGGCTTTGGGCAGGACACACTGTGCCAGAGCCCCTGCCCCACCTGTATGTTTGTGTCCCCAGCTCCTTCACCTGTCACCCAAGCCGGAAAGGCCCACGGGGAGCTGCCGGCTCCCATCTCCTGCCTTGTATGAGAAACTGGGTTCCTTGTAATTAAATATCAACTGAATTACATGCAACTTTGTGGCTTTTTGTTTGTTAAATGCCTCCCAGCACCCCCAGAACAGAGGTACCCCCGTATTCCAGGTACTTTCCAGGAGTGTCCAGCATCCAACGTTCCTCACACCTGACGGCTCCCGTGCTGTGCAATACCGACCCTGTCTCAGCTCATGGTGGCATGAGCTGGTGGTGTGTGGGAGGGGCCAACCACCCACCCCACTTTCTGCACACCCCCCCCCCACTTTCGGCACCCACCCCATCTACTGGGAGGAGGATGCCCTGCCTGTCGCCGTGAGGGGATGGTAAGGGGTGACCATTGGTTTTCATGACCTCCCCAGCGTGTGACACCCGTGTGATCCCTTGGGGTCACCAGGCGGCACTCACGCAGCTGTCACAGGGAGCGTGCCAAGAAGGACCGCCATGCAGAAGCAGAGATGAGAAACACCTGGGAAAAGTGAGGTCCCCAGCACACTGTAGCTACAGGCCCTTTGGGGAGAGGGGAGGCAGCAGGAGCTGGAGGCCTGGAGAGGTGCCCTGGGCTGCACAGGCACCCTAGCAAGGGAGTATTCCCCACCCCCTTTCCAAATGTGAGTTCCCTGGCCTCACCGCTCACAGGGGAACCCAACTGGGAGCCAGAGAGCCGAAGTGCCCAGACGACATCACTGGGAGGTCACCTCTCGGACCTCAGAGCAGGCGGGATGGGACAGGACCCCAACGCTCCTTGTGTCTGTTTCCTCGCAGAAGTCCCCAGGTGCTTCCTAAGCCAGGATGACAGAACAGTCACCATGGCTACGGGCCTCCTGGGGACCCCTCTTCCTGTCTCCGCCTGGTGCCAAAAGAGATAAATGGGAGTTCTCGGTGTAGTGAGCAGCATGATGGCTCTGCCACGCGTGGAGAAATGGTTCTTCCCGTCTTCTTAGCAGCAGCAGCAGCAAGAACTTTTACAATGAGGAGATTTACAAATTATTTGTGGCCCAGAGGAATGACAGGGCTGAACTAGGAGTGTCTCCTAGCAGGCCCAGGGCCAGTGCTAAAATTGCAGCCAGCCCCTGGAAACAGGGTGCGCCCAGGCAGAGGGAGGGGGTGCCACGCCTCCTCCCGCCTCCTTCTCCAGGGCTCCTCTCTGAAGATACCGCCCACTTAGGGTGGCCTAGCCCCTTGCCACCCCAAGTGGGGGCCGCGGATCTGCATGTCAGCGCCCACAGCTCGTTGGAAAGGCACGCGTCAGGTCCCCTCACACCTGCTGCACGGAATCTGCATTTTAGCAACATCCCGGGGTGGCTAGCGTGCACAATAAATAACCATCAGTTACATTAGACTGCGTCCGCAGCCGTAATCTAATTAAAGAAATTCCCTCACCACCACCACCCGCCTGGGGCCTCTGGCCTCTTGCTGTTCAGTGCAGCGGGACCCTGCTTTTACCCGCTTTTCTCTGACCACCTAGAGAATGGGCACTGGAAAGGACCGGAAGGACCCCCAGCACCGAGGGTCACTGCCTTCCTTAACTTAAGGCCCTCGTGGCGTGTAGGCAGCTGGCCTCCGTCGGGACTTCATCTGGTTCTTCCCAGGCTAGAGCCTAGAATCTGGGAAAGGACAGGAAAATGATCTGGTGATCCTCCTTTCCCCAGCCTTTTATTTTTTTCTTTGTAAAGATCGATTTATTTAAGCATACAAGAGCTAAGATATAGGCCAGAGGTATGGGGGCAGGGAGGGGATGAGAGGGATTCACCAAACAGAGCAGGGAGCAGAACAGGCAGATGTACTGAAATACACGGCTGAGGGGAGCAGCGGGTGAGACGGGAGAGGTCTGCTGCACCATGTGGGTCAGCTCCCTGGCCGGGGATTGAACTCAGGCCACAGTGGCTGGCATAGCTTGATAGTGCTGAGTTCAACCCCTGCACACCAAGGAGACCCCCACATGAATCATTTGAAACATGATTTTCATCTTCACATTTTTTTTTTAAATGCCCTATCACAGTACTATTGACTCCAATTTATGGATGAGAAAACGTAGGCCACAAGGGGCTCCATGACCTGCCCAGCGTCACAGAGCCAAAGGTGGAGAGGCGGCCCCACTGTCCCTGCCGCCTGGGTCAGGGCCACATGAGTAGTCCGAGGGTCTGCTCTGAACCTGCCCAGCCCGCTATCATCACAGTGACTGTGGAAATGCCGCTGGTTCCAGAAATACTGAATTTTCAGACATGGCCCATTGTATCACTCAGACTTTGCCCAGTGCAAGTTAAATATGACCGGGGTTGGTGGCTGACCAGCAGTGCCCCTTGATGGGAGAGGCAGGGCCAGGTGAAGACCAGACAACCAGGTCTCCTGAGACAGGTCAGCGGGTGGTGAGTCAGGGGGCTATAAACGGCTTATGGCTCCAACCAGCACTGGCCCAGATACTTAGCTGATGAAACCCCCTGTAAGCCCCTCTGTGTGCCCCGGGGCTGTTCTGGAGGAACATATCAGCCCTCCTCAGGGAGGGGGCCCCACTTGGCAGACCCCAGGACTGGCATTGTGCACGCTCTGTTCCAGCCGCACAGCCGGGCCTGGGCTCATGGGCTATATTGAGGGCTGAGTCACCGGCCTGCGCCTGGGTCAGGCTGACAGTGACTGGCTGGCTGGGGCCTGACTCAGGCCCCGATTTATCCTGGAGAGCAACAGGCTCAGATTGCTGGGGCAGGGAGGGTGAGAAGGGTGCCGGGAACCATCCTTGGCACCAGGTTCCCCTCTGAACCATTCACTCCCTCCCTGGGCCTACAGACCTCTCCTGGACAGGGAGAATGGTGCGGGTGGGTGTGAGCTGTGGCTAGCGGCTGAGAGCAGAGGAAGCTGTGAAGTAGTTATTTCTCTGCTACTCCCTGGCTTTCCTCTGAGCTCCCCCTCTTTAAGGTCTGCCCTCAACTGAAGGCAGGTAGTGATCACAACCAGGACTATGTGCCATTAGGAGTTGAAAGGGGCTGTCAACTCCAAGCAAACCCACCTTACCCCTTCCTCTCCTTCCTAGCAGCTCAGAGAAAGTAAGCTCCTTCCTCAAACGTGTACCTCAGCTTTTTTATTGAGGCTTCGAAGTCAACATCAACATCACTGAACCCTGAATCAGCACCTCAGATCATCCGAAGTCTGACTTTACACACACACACACACACACACACACACACGTACACACACAGACACACACACACACAGAGTTCCATGGTGAGACAGACGGTGTCATGTACCCCCAGGAGCTGGGCACTTCTCCAAGGAGGGCCCAGTGTCCCTAGAAGATGGACCGTGGTTGGTTTGGGCCATGGGATGAAGGAGGCATAGGGGGATGAAGATTCTGGAGACTGGGAGAAGGGGGTGCCAGCAGGAGTGGAATTCCTGAGTACCTTGTCACAGGCAGCCCACAGAACATGAGCCGCAGGACGCAATCTATTTATACCTCAGCTGTCACTATCAGGGCCCCCAGAGCTCCCCCCTCCGAAGCCCCACACAACAGTTCCCATTTCTGTTTCTGGTCTCTTCTCCACTCACTCCCCTCCATACCAAATGAGAAGGGAAAGAAATCAAGGGTGGACCCCTTTCACTAGAAGCACATCCCTTTACCCCCCTCAAAAAAAAAAAAAAAAACCCAAAACTGCTTTCTGAGCTCCTAGCAGGGATTCCCCTCCTTCTGCCCTTGGGGGGAAAGTCCTCAAAGATGTCCACCATCCTTCCTTTCCTCTGGGCTCGGGGACAGAAGAGGAATAAGATTGAGTGATTCACCGATGCGGTCCCGGAATATTCCCTAATTTCAGTCATCACACACCTTGCGTTGGGGGCTGACTGGCTCAAGTTGACTGGATCTAGAAGGGTAGGGGTTGAGGACATTGGACATCAAGGGGTACCATGGCAGATCGAACATGCCTGTCACCGAATTGCAGAGTTTGTTTGTCTTTATGCAAGCGCACAGGCTAGAGCTCTTTTGCCTCACTCTGGGCTGCTCCTCTGGGGCAGTGCCTCAGTTTCCCGTTGCTGTTTCCTAGGCCTCCAGCTGCCCTAGGCTCACTCTGAGCCCAGCCGGCCAGGGATTCCTGGCTGGCTCCCGGGCTCTCCCTACCCACCACTTCCTACCCACCACCCTGGTCACGTTTCCCCTTGGCTGCTCTGGGCAGGGTTCTCCCTGTTTCTGTCACTGGAAGGATCCGCCCTGTGGCCCACATGGGCACATTGCCCAGGGGGCTCCCTGGCACGACAGGGCAGAGTCTCTCCCTCTTCGCTCATCACCTAGGTTGACTCAGACTTGGGGGCTGAGGGAGCATTATGTGACTCACTGGCTACTCTTCTGAGCTCAGCGTCTTTCTGAGGAGATGAGGCCAAATGGGCCAGTGACAGGGACACTGAGTCAGGGGGCTGCAGCCTCAGTCTTTGCCCTTGGGATCCTGGGTTTGGGGTTCAAATAAGGCTTTTCTACCAGTAAAGTGAGCACCCCTTCCCCCCAAGCTTTCTCCCTCATTGGCTCAGAGTCCTTACCTCCTCTCTGCAGGAGAGCACACACTCCCCTCCCCTGTCTGCAGGTGGACAGGACCCTGGGCTTTCAGCCAGGACTCCAGGGCCTGCCAACAGGCCCGCCCCAACCCATCCAAAAACTTCCTCGGATTAGTGTGCTCTGCCCTAACCATGGGCCTCAGTTTCCCCATTTATCGCTTTAGTCACACGAGGTGTACGGGATTACCGGCTCTGACTGGTAGCGCTTGTTTAGGGGTGCTGCAGGCCCTCACCCCTCCACCTCCCGGCTGCACTCACTCACCACTCCAGCGC